GCTTTAGTTTCGTTTCTGCGGCAGCAACTGAAGGTCCTCAAAGGATCAGCGCACACCGAGGATTTAGAACTGCCGAAGTTGTTTGCCTATCTGCAACTCAGCTGGCCCTTCTGGATTGCAGTTGTGGCGGAATTCCTCCTATCAATAGCCATTCTTCTTTTTCTGATGCGTCGAGACTGCAAAGTACCCAAAACCACATCGATCTGAGCTCCTGCGTTCGCCTTTAGATATCTTCCCTGTTTTTAGCCGACCCTACTTAAACATGTCGTTAACCGTTATTGAGGACTTTGAAATAATGGGTGGCCTGGCTGGAGCTGTTATTCATATCGTTATATTTGGTTATTTTTATGGATTTTTGTCTTTAAAATTCGATTTACAAGCAAGAGTTTTCGGTACTTTCTCATACTGTCACTATAACTATATGGAGAATGAAATAGTCAGCCTTCATGGTATGGCGGGGGCTGAATGCGAAATGTATAAGTTTGTAAAAGATTCATACTTACTCGCATACTGGCATGAAGGGAAAATTTAGAAATAATAGTGAGCAACATAAGGCAACATAAGGCTGTTAAGGAAAATATTTCTTTTAAATCCCTAAGTTGCGAAGAAGTAAACAATTGCGATTAATAAGAAAAATACACTTAAGTCGAATGAATAACCCCGCCACCTTCTATACATACAAATAACTTTTCCACAAGCAAAATATTTTAAATATACCTTTGTTATTTAATTATTTAAACTCACAAATGGACCTTTAGATGACGGCACACTTTGGAGAATATTCAGGTTCCTCAAGATTTCATAAATTAATCCAGATAGCGTTCTGCGTTTATATAAAAACCATTAAAAATAAGAACTCGATTAAAAAATTTAACGAAAAAGATGAGTTTTTGGACATTAGTTCAGATGAAGATGGCCATGTGGGTCATAACTAAAGATGCCTTCAAATAGCAAAACACAGCATCGAGAAATTAATAACGCCCGCAACGCAACTTTGATATCGTTATACGTAAGACTAGTAAAATAATTTTATTTCAAGAAAGCAAGTTCTTTGGGATAATGCAGCAATTTTTATTCAGCACGTTTTCGACAACGGATCTTAGGTCGTCGTCGGACTGGCGAAACAGTTTAGCGAATCATTAACATTTCCAAAATGCTCGTACTGGCTTATAGTCATCTAGTGTGTGCGCATATTTTTAAAACCGATTTTATGATGTTTCACACGATAGAAATAACAAGGAATTCACTAATCTCTGAAGCGATCCTTTCCTCACTATGCAAAATCTGGCACGCGTTACGTTTTGACAGTGCGCTAACAAGCGAGACTTAAAACGTAGCCAACCGATGGAATAATGTGGACCACGGGGTTAGCCTGCGTTTGTTTTGACGCTGAGTAGTTGAATGACGGATCCAAGGTCAGGCAATAATCGCTCTTTCTTAAAGTGATCCTTATGACACCCCCGATGCGTAGGATCCGAGGAAGGTGTGGCGAAACGCTTAGAAGCATCTCAGTCTGTGCCATCCACCAGTGCCCTCAGCCGACTTCGTTGTTTTTTGGGTTTGGTCATGATACCGGGCACATGTTTTAAAATGGAAAAGACTGTTTTAGATGCAACACAAGTTAACCACTTCTTAAACAGAAATTCACAGTTAAGTCTCCGCGGTGGAATCCGTCGAAATCGACGGCGAAACTGTCGTCACCGTTGAAGCAAAACGGGACATGCTTTGTTATAGCATTGCGTACTGTAGTATTCATCATATCTGAGGTTTGATTCTGACGTAACACCTGGTAATAAATTGTTTAAGGCCATTTATTCTGCATCAATCTGACGGGCCAGACCTCTTCTAACTTGCACGAAGCGTGTTACTTGCAGCGAATTTTGAGAAATGTCGCTAAGTTGACTCTCGTTGATGACAGCAGTAACTTCTGGAAGTAGGCATGGACAACGGAGACTGGAATGACCAATTCTGGTTTATAAGCCGTCGTCAGCCGGTCATACCCAGACCCAAATGGTGTCCCACCCAAGTCTCGAACTTATGATCTCTTTGATCAGAAAATATTGCTGGCAAGCATTCGTAGCTTTTAATAAGTTCTACACGGGCCATTAAATTTATATAATGAGGGGGTGAAAACAATATGCTGGCAATCATGGTCATTGTTACAGGCAAATTATTCATTGAAAAAAGGGATGGGTGTGGTTGATAGTAGTCGGCTGGCTGCGAGGTGATTGAGGTTTGTTGAATCCGGACAAAGAAGGGAATAGAAAGGGAAAAAAGCGCGGAAAAACAGAGGCAGTTATGTAACCGTTGGCCATGCCGAGCTCAGGGCTTGTAGGAAATTTTTTTGCACGCACAAAGCCGGCTTCCTCAACCGGATCGTGGTTGCTTATGCTGACCCAGGGGCTTTGGGTAGCTTGTCTGGACCTTATTAATTACCTTAAATGCTTCGCCGGGGTCCACACGATGTCCGGAGTAAACCGGGTGAGCATGGATGGAGCTGTTGATGCTTCTGCTTCCGTCTTTTTGGATAAGCGCCGACTCGTGCGACCTTTATTGTCTGCTCATAGTCAGACGCCCTATCATTTGAGCCCTGCGCCCGTTATCTCACCCGTTTGGTCACGGGATATTGACACTCATTGATGAACTTTCACCTGATCACTTAACGGAATTCATCGTATTAGCTCCGCATTTCGCGTTGACAGATGCACTGACAGCCGTAACAGCTGAAAATAGGCGAATAGTATTGCCGACAAAGACATCACTTGAGTCTGACTGACAAATAAGCCAAAGATGGCCATTATAGTCTCATGTCTTGTCGGCAATACTACCTCTCGATTCAATTGACACTCGAGGGCCTCCGTCCGAACCCTGCACTTTTAGAGTTTAAGTATGTTTCTTCTGCATAACACCGCATATTTCTTGCAGCCACCATGCTCTGATAAATTAAAGCTTCCAAAGCAACACATAGAGTAAACTGTTAAATTGATTGCAGAGCCAATAGCGTTTGTGAGTATGTAAAGGTTCCATATAAACGTCATCTAAGTAGCAAACAGCTAGGATTGTGAAATACTAGACAGATGGTCGTGGTAGCTACCTAGATGGGCTATATCAGGGCCAGACCGGTAAAGTGTATAACATTCGTTAAAAATGGGGCACGTCTTTCCAAAAAGCCATTTTATTGTAAGGGAAAGAACGCGCGACACTTCAAAAATAAACAAAAATGTACACTCTAATTGAAGGCAATCAAATAAACCGCCACGACAGAACCCCGGGGCAAGTCAGGAGGAAAAGGGAAGCAAAACCATTCTTAAACAAGAAATGAACAAATAACGCCCGCAACTTGCGACCATCAAGAATATACCCTGTTATAGAAAAATACTCCGAAAAGGTAGTTTCGGACCGATACCACCTTTATGAACACACACTGCCTGCAGCGCTCGCCGGGATGTTAATGAATTTGCCCTGAGGGTTAATGCTCCATCATATATCGCGGACACACATTCCACTGTTCTAACTAACTTCTTATCAGTTCGCATAAAATCGGAAATTAATAATGCATCAGGCTAATGGAACCTTACTCCGGTACTTGGATTTGATCTTGAAGATAACGAGGTAATGGCGATATGAATAGGCATATTGCGAGTGCAAATTAACTGTTGATCTTGTTTACCGATAAAGGAGGAAAAACTGTTTCTCCAATTATTAGCGTCAAACAAACGCCCAAGATTTTAAAGAAAGGAAGCAGAGGCGATTGGTGGATTTTGTCGTAGGTTCATTATCAAACACAGTGGCAGTAATACTAAAACGGTATTTTAATAACTGTACACAATTCTCTGCCAGCGCAAGTGCAGGGAAACCTTTAACGACTGCCGCCTATTTCATGAAAGAATAATGAAGAAATTCGTTACTATGGAAAATGTTAACCCATGATCTTGGCTGTACTCTTGTTTAAACTACGATGACTGCAATCTTTTCACCAAATAAATACACTATCAACATAGTTCAAACCACATGTATTATCCTTATTGTTCACGGTGAATATTGGCGGCGCTTAGTTAAAGAAATAATGTGCATTCAGAGAATAATTTAGAAGGTGGGAAGAACCCCTCTGTGACCAATATTTTATTTGCCTGACGGTTCGAACCCTCACGTGAACTAATTGTCAAGGAATAAAAATCTACAGCTCAACGTGTATTTAGCTCAAATCTGCCGGGAATAACCTTAAGCTCTGCTACTGATTTTTTTTTCGCGCAACGCGAGGTAGGCATCAGTAAGATCGGTATGCCTGTTAATTGAATTCGCGTGCGAGTGCCATGCCTCCTGCAAGAGGCGTGAGATTCGGTCGTCCGACTAACCCAGTATTCGTACGTGTTCGAAATCGAAGCCGCGCCCTGGCATGGATACGTGAGCGGCTACCAAAGAAAGCTAGTCACTCCGTCGCACGGCGAGTTTGTGCTGAGGCATTTCATGAGAACGCGTTTGCCGGTTTCACTAAATTAATTGGCTTGACCACAAAGGCAGTCGATGTGGTAAATAACAGCGGATTTTGGTTAACGTTGGCGAGCAATACCTTATGTTGCTGATGTATCCGAAGAATTGGTTTGACTGCTCAGCGAATTTGGGATTGGCGTTGCCCGCAGGCCAGAAACAACAATCCGCAGACAAATTATGCAGCCTAAAGACCCAGCACCCGCTTACCAAAAGTCCGGTGTCATCTACCGCATCGACTGCCTTTGTGGTCAAGCCAATAATGTTGGTGAAACCGGCAAACAGGTTCTCACGATAATGCAACAGCAGGAACTCGCCGTGGGACGCAATGAAAAAAATTACATTTATTAGAAAAATAAATGGCACGACGTAAGACTCACGTTATCGGCAAAAGTGTTGGTCTACAACTACAAATAGACAGTCGCAAAATGCTTCATTGCTAAAACTATCGAAATAAAGGAGGGATGTGCACAGTCCCTAGACTAACCGCCTGTATTAATTTTATTTTTTATACGTAAGGGTGCTTGCATATGTTTAGGTGATAAACTTCGCAATTGCTCACTAGGATTGACATTTCTATAGATAGTTGACCAATGTAATCACAATTTACTCACAAACATTTAGTTGATAACGTTGTAGACCGCTATCGGACGATTATTATGGTACACACGAATGGATGCAAAACTCCAGAACAAAATAAAAAACAAATCGGGCCTTTA